ATTCATTCAAGTTTTATTTAAAATATTTTTTTCAAATAAAAATTATATTGTCAAAATAATTTGGTAAATATTTGTCTAAATCAATTTAAATAGAACATATACTTTGTATATGTATATTTTTATAAATATATATAATAATTTAATATATATACATATACATATATATATAATATATATATATATATATACATATATTTTGAAATTTTTAATCATTAAAAAAATAAGCAATTAGAACAATAAAACTGATATTAATAAATGTGTAATATTTATTTCTAAATTATCACAAATTTTTTTTGTACACATTTTTCTTTTAGATAGTGCTAATAGCTGTAGCAGGGAGAAGTAATGGATTAGGTCCAGTACTCTCTGGAAATACATCTTTGCCTGTCATTAATTGTCCACCTTTCAAACCAGAAAATATTTCCCAAGATTTATGGTCATCAATCAATGTTCCATCAGGTGAATTGTCAATTATAATTTAATTATATTTTTTAATTATAAAATATATATTATTAAATAGAATTTTTTAAATTTTTAGGAATTGGATGCACTACAGTAATCTATCCTGAAAGTGCAGCATTAGCAGCTGCTCAAATTCACGCATTGCATGATCATCTAGTTTGGGCATGTTTACGAGTAAAGCAGTTAAAAAATTACATTGCTTTAAAACAAGCTGATATTAATTTAAAGAATCTTATTGTGTAAAAGATTTGAATTATTTAATACTAATTTACGATTCAATTTTATGAATCACATAAAATTTAATTACATTTTAAAAATATAATTAATATTAAATAATTCATATTACAATATATTAATTATTCATATAAATTTATATATATATATCAATATATAATAAATATTTAGTTGCTAATTTAGTATTTGATATTAAATTTTTTTTTCTACTAAATATCATTTATATTGTTTTTTGCAAATTTATAATAATCATTTTATTAATCGTACTTGAGTTATTATTTTTATTATATGAATTTATGAATTATTATTATTATATGAATTTACATGAATTTATATGAATTTTATATAAATGTTCATATTAATATTTTTTCTGTACATTATATTATTACTCTTCTTAGTTATTCTTTATTGATTACAGATATATAATTTTCAATGTTATTAATTCTTATATACAATTCTTATCTGAAATAAAATAAAATGATTTATACATCAATTATTACATAGTTATATTAAATTAATATATTTAGAAATTAAATATATTACATTTATTATATTTGAAAATTATATACAATCATTATTATAACTATTGACTCGCTAAAGCTTCTATTTTGAAAATTTCTTTTGGACAATCTTCCGTTAGAATTATTGGACCATTTTCTGTTATTAAAATATCATCTTCAATACGAACAGCTAAACCAACAAATTCTGGTGGAGCAAATTGATTTTTAGGATTAACATATATACCTATAAATAATAAAAAGTAAAATTATTTTAAATATTAATTATTATAAATAAATTGATATTTCTAAGATTACCAGGTTCTATTGTGATTATTATTCCTGGTTGAAGTTTTAAATTCCTAGAAATTTTTCCTGTATCATGCACATCCATTCCCAAATAATGACTCACATGATGTGGACAATAAGAATAAACTGTAGAAAATAATTCTTTTTTATTTAAATGTTTTGGTATTAGTCCACATTCTTGTAATCTTTTGCCTAATAAAGAGCACATATCATGATATAATTGATCTAATGAAGGTAATTCTTTTAATTTATGAATTAAAATATTTTGAATATCTAATACTATTTCATATAAAATTTTTTGTTCTTGAGTAAATGTTCCATTAATTGGCCATGTTCTGGTTACATCAGATGAATAACCATGATATTCACAACCTAAAAAAATTTTTAAATAATAAAAAAATTAAAAACAGAATATTTTTTTCATTTATAAATATTCTAACCTGCATCCATTAAAACCATGTCTCCATCTTGAATTATTTGATTGTTAGTAATATAATGAATAATATTAGCATTTTTTCCCCCAGCAACAACTGGTGGATATGCTAAAAATTCTGCTCCATTCATTCGACATTCATAATCCACAGTTGCAAATAGATGATGTTCACTCATTTTGGGTTTTGATATTTTTATAGTTTTAGACATTGCTGCTGAAATAATCTTACAACTTTTTTTCATTAAATCTATTTCAGATTGTGATTTAATTAATCTGATTTTATGCATAATATTTGTTGGAGAAACAATTTGACAATTTGTTATTTTCACTAATTCATTTAATTTTTTGTGTAAATTTGTTTGTATTATGTCAATAGTATCATACCAAATGATACTATTTTTATTTTCAGTCATAAAAGAAATAAAAAATTGTTCTAACTCTATTATTGGAAGTGCTGTATCTACACCAAACATTTCAGGTGCTATTTCAACTTTAGTTGTAGGTCCATCCCATAGTTCAGAATGTTCATCTTGTTGTGTTAAAAATAAAGTAGTTACAAAATTTTCATTTTTTATTGTAATTATCAAAATACTATTAGGTTCTTGACAACCAGTAAAATATAAAAAATCTGTATTTTGACGAAAAATATATGGAATTTTGCCAGACATGTATACTTTAGACGAAGAAGGAATAATCACAATATGTGATTTGGCTAGATTTGTGATATAAGCATGTGAAATAATATTCTCTATCAATTTATTTCGTCGCTTTTTGAATTCACAAAGTTGAATACCAGGTACTACTTCTCCTTCTTTTATTAAATGAGGATGTGTAGTTATTGTTGGTTGGCCACATGATCGATAAAAAATACTTAATGATTCTTTAGTTTTTTGTCGATTTAAATTATTTTTAATTATATCTAATGAGTGTCGTATATATGTCCGCTGTCCTAAAATTATAATTAATATTAAAATAATATAAATAATTTTTATTTGCATTTATAATTTTACAATAACCTATAATTTATTATTACTTTTATTTTCTTTTTCTCACCATATTTTTTAATTTCATATTTAACAGAATTCTTCACAGTATTAAACATTTTAATATATTTTTAAATAAAACATTTAAATATGTTAAAAATTACTTATTTAGTACCCTTAAAATCTATGTCACACCGCATTATAAATACACAGTTGATTTGTGTAGTACTTTCATAAATTGTACAATACAGCCATTCTAAGTTTTATTACAATTATAATGTAACTATTTTTCCAAAGAAATTGGCGATAAATTTCATTAGTATCTAAATATATATATATATATATATATATATATATATA